CTGTGTGGTTCAGTCACTGTTAGAACGACGGAAAGCAAAGCTCTCGTTTTGGGTCTTTTTTCTAATGCTCAGGTCAAAATACATTCTACCACCTCTGCATATTTTACTCTTAAACATCCCTCCTGGTTCCTTTTCCTGTTCCTGCTCTGTTTCCTTTGTGGATGTATGCTATTGAACAACACAGTTTTCTCTGACTTTTTCCAGATATTTATATCACATCCGTTTGGACACATTCACTCATTCAAAATGTTAGCAGTTCACGTAATATGTGTCCACTCTTTTGAAATGTCAGTAGTTAAATAGTAACATGCTTTGACTGAATTTCAGTGAGGCTAAGTGGTGATTAGGATGAGGTATGAGTTTTTCTAAATGAGTTTTGAGTCAGATGTGAATTGTACAGTTCACTTCTCTACTTTGAAAAGTACACAAAAACCTACATTGCTTCTGTACATACATTACAAGGAGAAAACAGAATGTAGGCATTTCCTTCTCTTCCTCTTCCTCTTCCGGTTTTTACTGTAACATGAGTTGAGTCGATTTATCACTTCATTTCCAGGAATATCCCAAAAATCTCAGATTCACGGGACATCGCTGGCCCTCACCGGGTCATGCCTGCAGGATCTGCAGTGCTGACTCAGTACAGCCAACTTGTACAGGTTCAGTATGAACACCAGGAAGTTCTTAAAAGCAAAGAAAGCCAGCATCTGGTTGAAGACTCTATAATAGGTCATGACAGTGAGTCTGACCACAAGGAAAGGGCCATCTTGGATTAACAAAGCCTGCACGATGCTCCATATGTCACTGATGTGGTTGGCACACCAGGAGTCTTCATGGGTGTCCTCACTTTCTTCATTCTCTCCTGCAGAATTCGCCGCTATGCAAAAAAAAATAAAAAAATAAATGGAATAATTCATAGATTTATAATAATCTGCTTGGAAACATGCTTCCTATTTTTCCTATTTTATATTTTTGATGGGTCTGCAGGGAAAAAAAGAAAAAGGGCTAAGTCCACATTAACAATCACAGCCATGTAATTCAGTTATTATTCAATTATTATTCAATAACGCACAAATTCTGAGCAGTTAATGCTGTAACTTGAAAATATAATGAAATCAAACATTTTTAAAAGTACTACATTTAAAAGTGGACTCGAGCCAAGCAAGTTACTCTATGACAAAAAATTAATATCCAAGTAAATTAATGGAAGGAAAATGGGATTTTGCATTGTCTGTGATTGCAGTTTCACCAATTCAAGAAACTGATATTTCATGAATTTCTAAATTATTTGTGCAAACTTCTGAAAAAGGGAACAATATGTCCCTCAAAAATTATTTTCATCCGGTGTGTTTTGAACTGAAGCCTGTGCAATTTAACAAACAAAAAGCTCACAAAGAGCAAGAAAACAGATTTTTGGATTAATTATTTGATAGCACTATAGACCGAAGGTCAACTCATGGTTGGCTTTTTGCTGCTGTCTTTGAGCCCCAGCTTGAACACCTCAACAGAAGGTTCTTCAATTCACTGTCTCCCTCATAGACACCAAAGACAGAGTTACAATACACAAGCAGACACCGACCGGACGGATGTATGGGAAACTGCAGCATACTCCAGGTCCATACACCCAAGATAATGTAGACCACATGGTGCCTCCTATCTCTGCAAAAGGCAAACAGACAGCATAGAAAGATTAAGCTTTTCAGTCCTTATTCACTACTTTTAACTATTAACTATGTCCCAATAGACACATTCATGTGACTGCAGGGACCATTCATGACAGATTCAGGGTTTTTATTTGCACCCACTTGATATCGTTCAGTGTCTCACTGTTGAATTCAAGAATGTCAGCCCCAGTGCCAACAAACGTTAGTAGAATTTCAGACAGTTCGCCTTTTGAGACCCCGCCTCCAATGGGGAGGAGCCACTTCCCGAAAATGAGGAGGATGAGCACCAACTGATGAAGAGCCAGGATCCATTCATTCGAACAGACCGCGGAAAACACATTTTGGAATGTCTGGAGAAGGAAAAGAGATCGATAAAAAATTGACTTATTATTTGACAACAGAAAGAAAAAACATGGCCACTATTTAAAATGATAGCCACATCTGTAGTTACGACACCATTATATATGATATTTGATTTATCAAATGTTAAGCCAAAAACCAAAAGCCATTGCAAAAAGAACACTGACACTGTTTCATTTCTCTTTCTGTTAGTTTAAAAATAAAAAAGACCAAGTCCAGATCTCTGGCTTTCCAGCTTCCCTGTCTGCTGATAGCTTAAGAAACTGTCCGAAGAAAGATCTCCTCGCTTCTGTTCCCGTGTAACCTGCCAAAGGTTACTCTAGCTCACAGGTCACATCCTCTCAGGATGTCACATCCTGGTTGCTTCTTTAGCTAAGAAACGCTTAATTAGCTTTTAGAACAAAGATTATAAAGCCTATGAACAATTGAGAATTTTTAAGCAGTTTTCAAAGTTCTATTTTCGTATTTAGTGTCATTGACCGTGATACATGGGACTGTGCAATTGATTACAATCAGCACAAAGAACCCAATGCTATCAGCCCTCTTATTAATCAGAGCAACAGCTTGTCTAACTGAAGTGGTTTTTTTCAGGGTTATTTAGATAACGGTGGAGGTCTGTGTGAATAGGCTATATTTGTTCTAGCACCACCACCACAATTGTTCATTGTTGGGTGTTATTTTTAAATGGGATCTACTGACAGTTGACAAATGTAGAAAACTGTAAGTGTTTGCTTGAATAACCTGATTACTTTTTAAATGGGTTGTATTTTTTAAATGTCATGAGATAACATCATCGTGATCTGGTGCGATACAAATAAAACTGAACTGGAATTAATTGAATTATATTACACAAGACAGGGAAAAGTCAGGGCTATTGAACATTTGCCCCTTTATGTGTAATTCACCTGGATTTAATGGATGTGAATGAGGGTCAATGATTTTATTCAGTCACTTAACGACTCATTTAAGAGCAGAGAAAATTTCAACTGGTCTAAAGTAATTATTTCTGTTCACTTAGTACCCCTAAACAACCCTGATGTGACACAACTAATCAGATTTTTAGGAAGGAAAGAAGGACGCCCTTTCCAAGGGGACCAAATCTGCATTTGTTTTAAAATCTTTGACATTGGTGAGTAATCTCTGAAATATTTCATGTCTGACCCACATCTGGATTTTGATCTCCCAGCAGCGCTCCAGGAAGTCTGGCAGTCAAAGATTATGTACAACACTCCTCCCCTCAACTGCACAAGATGTGTCCTCAGGGATCTCTTCTATATGTCTGACTCTGATTCCCACTGAGGAGTTAAACACCCACTTTGTGCAGACCACAAACGTGTTCTTTCCGCCAACGATGATCTAACAGGCAACTTTTGGAATAAACAGCAGATGAATGCTGATATTGTACTCTATAGCTGGAACTGGTTGGTTTCAGTTAGATTTTAGTTATTATTTATCCTAATTTCTGTTCAAAGTCCATAGTATGGCAGAAAGTGTACCCTTTTTTTTCTTATGACATACAGCTGCATTAAAGTTTCACTTCCTCATAAATTCTGTTGAGTCTGTTCAGTCGTTTCCACAGAACACAAAACAGATTATCTGAACTAGCTGTCTCATTCTAGTTTATTCGTAGTCATCTTGTATCTCTCTACAAGAGGGAAGTTAATTAAAATGTTCAGTCTCTTACCTTCAGGTAATCATTGTTTGTTTGGTTTCCTAAGGTCTTGTTCTGACTGATCAGTTTACGCAAACTGTCCCAAGAGTCAAGCGATTGGCACTGAAAACAGATGAAGGAGGCATTCTCAAACTACTCATACAAATTTAAATGTTCAAAATAAACACAGAAAAAAATGTGTATTTAATAGAAATGTAGCTTTAAATGCAACGAGCTCTGCAGCACTTCCCACCAACTCCTATTTGTTGGTGGGTTACAAATTTGGAAAGCACAGAAAGTTTTGCTTTAAGTATTTGCACACTGACGGATTATATTTCACTCGAGCATGGAGTACCTCCGGATCACTGACTAAGCCATGCCGGTGGTGGAGTTCCAGGATCCAGATAGAGGGAATGATACTGATGAGAAACAGAAAGATGGGGGGCGAAAACCTGGAAGAAAACAGGAACAACACTTAAATATCCACTATCCATCCATTATCCATCCATTATCGTTACGGCTTATTCCCTAATGGAGTCGCGCACACTTAAACATCATTATTCCAAATTCGTACTTGAATGGAACAACATCGATGATAAGTACCTTTAATGGACAGAGGTGAACTGATCAGCACAGCAGCAAACTTTCTGTCCAAAACAAGAGCCCCATGAATATGAAAGGAAATTTCCTCTTCCCCTGTTTTCTTTTTTCGGCCCCTGGGAATATTTGTGAATTGTAACTGTTGAATGGAAGTGTGAAAGGATCTTGTCGTCTCTTCTCTCTCCCTAGACATACCCAGATGCACTACTTTGTTTCTTCTAGGCTTAATAAACTATCAAAAAACATCAGAATGCCCTTAGCATGGAGAAGGACACATGTGGGTGTCGCTTATGTCAAGTCTAAGGCTGTGATATGCACTCGTGATAAAATCTTAGTGAAACCCCCCTAATGTGCAGATAGAATAAGACTGGGGAAGTTGATTTCCTGCTGTGATAATTAAAGCGTACCACCCAATCCTTACTGTCCAAGGACAATAGACACAGTGGGACATGCAGGATGTAAGAGGGGGATGGGATACTTTCTTGAAAAAGATCAAAACTACAAAAAACGATTTTAAAAGTCGGTTAACTAGGCAGCAAATGTTGTTTTTGCTCATTCAACCCCAACACCAAAGCAACACGTTTAGAGGAAGAAAAGCAACAACACATCAACTAACAGGCATGAACAGCTACTCACCATTTGTAATCCTGTCCCTGACGCCGCTTAAGAGTTATTATCATTTCAACGACAAGCGGCAGGAAGATGATAGTCAGGAGCCAATACATGCCATCTTTCTTCACCCAGATCACTCTGAAGACCCCAACCAAAGCCAGCAGGACAAACAGGGCTCTGGTGATGATCGCGCTCAGAAACTTAAACAGAGACATCCCGCTTTCCAGCTACTGGCCGCCAAGCATGTCAACCTGTATTTCCACACTGACACAAAAAGCTCATTCACAGAAAATTCAGAAAAGTCACCAAAGTTTAAGCCCCACCCTCTGCTCCCACCAGAATCCACAGACCGCGGGGAGCAGCGACGCTGCGCGCTGCGTCACCCCGGGAGGGAGTTCCAGTGGGGGGGGGGGACAAAAGTATCTCACCGTGTGCGGATCGTTTGCCTCCTCTTTCAAAAGCGACATCGCTGCGAACTGCGCGCACAGAAGAGGGCAGCATCACATTGCGCCAGCAGCATGGAGAGCAAGCCTCAGCAATGTTTTACAGGATACAGGAAAAAACAAAAAACAAACAGGACATGCCCAGCGTCAAAACATCTCACGTTGTGCATAGGTTTAAATCACTGTGGGGGATGGTTCTAACCTTTTAAAAAAAAAAGATTGCGCATGTTTTCCTACAAATGCCAGTCATGTCAGAACAAAGTTCAAATCAGTGCCTTGTTGATTTACCTACGTTGCTCAACTGAAAAAACAAACTGTAAGGATGCCATCTGAAGGGCTGTGTATTAAAAAAAACACAAAAAAAACAACACTTAAATTCTGGCAAAAGCTGTGTAGTCACAACGATTCATGAGCAGCTCTCACAAAAGTTAAAAAAACAAAACAACGTGTATCTCTGACAGCCTTTTTGGAGTTGACACATGTAGGAAGGCGGGTGGCAATCTCAAAAGACATTAAACATTAAAACACCAATTTTGGATAAGTTGGTTTGATAAGTTGGTTTTATCATATGATACAAAACAAATCCAATAAACTAGAGAAAATGTCACATATAAAGGACGGGTAAACCACCAGTGGTGGACTGCTATGATCTTTGGGCAAGTGAGAATCAACATATCTAAACAAACATCTGAGATTATCTCATGGGTTCAAAGCATGGTCAGTGAGCATAGCTCAGAATTGTATTGAAATGCACAAGCTCTGACCCTTTCCCATGTTAGAAAAAAGGCCTCAAAGGCCTTTCATTTACTTGATTAAAATACACACTGCAGGTATCAAAGCTGCACGGCTGCACAGTGAATACCCCGAATAAGCACGCTGTCCAAACCTTTCACCGACTCAAAACAATTTTTGTGTTATAAAAATGAAAAATATGTCATCCATCATGGATTAAGCATCAGTGTATGTATGTGTGTGTCTGAAGCCTGAATGGAAAGAATATCTGTATTTGTTATCCAAGAGTGATTGTAAAGGGTGATAGTGATGGCCCAATTGAGAAAAAAAGTTTATTTGCACGACGGGCTGAGCATTAGCGGTGAGTATTGTGGGGTTCGGAGCTGCTGCCGGCTTTTGAGTGTAAGCAACGAGATAAAGAGTAAGGAATCCAGGGACAAGGTCAGAAACAAGCAACGGTCAGAAACACAGGAAGTAGACGAGAGTCACTGGCCCAACACAGAGCACGTGTAAATGTCCAGATTTCCAGAGACTCCAAAGACGTCCATCGTGGGAAAAAGGAAGAGGAATGGTCCAGGGACATGAACTCAGTTGGCAATTTGGAGAATCATAGCCTATCTGGTGAACTTCAAGTAGAGCCACAAACAGGGGAAAACAGGGACGCAACTGGTCAACACTCAGGTGAACTGGATGAGGCTGACTGGTGAGCAGAGAGGTGCATCATTACAGTCAGACAGGGAGAGCAGAGCCCTATTTCAAATGAATACATTCAACTTATTGTCAGGATACCTATTGCAGTGTTATTAGATACAGGTTTGGAATTAGGTCGACATTTAATAATATTCAGAAATATTTTAATCAATGAATATTTCCCATTGGCCATAAGAATTTGCTCAACATAAAAACCATTGTGTCTTTATTTGGCTGCCACCGAGGCTTCTGGTTCAGATCCCAGCTGGGGCCTTTCTGAGTGGAATTTGCTCATTCCCCAAATGCATGCGAGAGTACCCCAGCTCCCTCCCACGGCCCAAAAACGTGCATATTAACCTCATCTAATTTCAGTGAAGGAGTTTGTTTGTCTCTGTGTTGGCCCTGTGACAGATTGGTTTCCAGCCCCTCGTGCACCCCTGAGTCGCACATAGTGGTTATAGAGGATGGATGGATGGATGGATGGGTGGATGGGTATCTTTATTTCACAATGTAAGAAAAGACACATCAGGCTTTACTGGCTTTCTGAAACTAAAGCACACACACACATACAACCTTACAAACATCAGCTTACCCCACTTTGCTGCATGCTGACTCAATATCTGTTGAAATCAATCTGTCCACTCAGGGCTGCGAAAAAAGAAACAGCAGTGAGGACTGTGACCTTGGAGAGGAGACAGACCTTTTTTTCTTGCCTTTGTTCCAATTTATCTGTCATCGTGTCTCAGCTTACATCATGTGTGTGAAATCGCAATGAGAATTTCAGATGTTGGAAAATAAAAATACCACAGTGTGTTGAGTTGTTAAGAAACAAAGGTTTGTCCAGTTTCCTGGTGATAACAGAATCAACACACAACACAAAGAGCCGCTGAAATATCCGCCGTGCTCATGAAGAGTGACAGCAGCAGCTCATTGCTGCCATAAAGCGATCAGTCTCTGACGAGAAAAACAAACTCTCTGAGACAGAGTTGCACGCTGTGAAGGATCCAGCTCTTGGCTTTGAGGAGATGATAACGACAGAGGTGGCTGAAGCTGATCACAGAACAGTGCTCCCCTCTGTGCAGCCGCCTTATTCACAACACGCTACGGGGCTCACGGAAAACGGGACTGCTCTCCGTTCCATCATGGGGAATCAAGCCCAGAGAAAAGAGTGATTTTCAAATACTGATAACCCTGCAAATTTCAAAAGGCAAATTAGACTTGAAGACAGGACAGAGAACTGAAGTAAATGATGGGATTTCTACACTAATAAACTTTCATGCATTTTTCAGCCGTTTCTTTCCCAGCTATTTAATTGGGAAAGTGGATTAAGATGCATGGTTATATTTCTTCCTGCCTTTTGGGTCTTGATGCGCCTTTCAAACATTTAAAGTGTCTCCTGCTATCTTTGTTAGTCCATTTGGTTTCTGTCTGCTTCAATGTTCAGTTACCCCCCAATAAGCCATGTTTTCCCTGAACCCTTGTTTGGATCTATTTAGTTTAAATCCTTTAAACGTCCTTCTGTAGCTCCCTCGGTTGTTTTAATGGAATTTCTTGTCTGTCTTCAAGATGTCATTCCTCATAAAATGTTGCTTTTCATGTCTGCATTTTTTCCACTGTGGTAGTTGTCCAAATGAAACAGAGGTACTCTGTAGCCATGAAAGCCACATAATTGATGCATACCATGCCGTGTTTTTTCTTTGCATTTATAGAAATTGGAAGGAGATATTTCGTGTGACAGCTTACAGCTCACAGTTTGAGTAATATTCGGCCGAACAGAAGTTGGAAAGTCTTTCTTATCCCCGTGAGATGAAAGTTTCTGCTGGAAACACAAAGACTTTGCATGTGTATGGATTTTAAATAGTTAAAATAACACATGCAAAGCATCAAAGATTACTGAAGTTTTCAATATTAAGTTTAAAGTTTTATGTATGGAGGCCACAAATGAACTTTGCTTTGAAGGGTGGATGGACATTTAGTTCTGTCATTTACATTTACAGCTGTCTCCATGTCGTTCCTTTTGATAGCCAAAAGGTGGCACTCAACACCACTTTTTCCAGGGCCTAAGAGCTCTGAGAGCGGCATCTGTATTAGTAAATTTGACATTCATGCTAACAGACAAAAGTCTCAGCAAGCTGGGACAAGGCGAGAGGAGTGTGTCAAAGCTGTGAGACATTACTCCCCATGTGACAAGTGTTTTTTTGAAAAATGTTCTATCAATACTTCAACACAGCCACCACAGGTCGGTGGGAATAACTTGTATTTTCCACAGTTTTCCACTCCACTCCTCTTTATTTCATTCACTGAATCTCATGGCAGCTGGGCCTGCTTTAAAACCATGTCAAAAACAACACGAGCACATTGTTTCCCTAATATAAGCTCTCTTTAAACAGTACAGGTCACGGGTGAAGCAGGTGGTTAAATGGTCGTATGGCTCTGGCACTGATTCTCCTCCCTTCATCTTGAAAATACTATTTCAGCTCAGGGCCCTGCAGAGTCACACATGTCCGGCATTTGCATGGGAGAAATTAGACTTAAATGGGTAACACATGACTCATTCTGTCTCAGCCCTGACAGCTGCAACAGGCCAAGCAGTTATTGGACAAATATGATTCGACTCAGAACAGAGCAACTCCTCAAAGCTTTTCCAAAGTGGAATCTTTGACGTAAGCTGAAAAATAAAGAGATATTGAGGCAGAGTCCGTGTGAAACATATTGAATTGCACTCAAACCGTATTCATTTTCCCCTCACTGGATGGATTTTTTCCTGACCTTAACCTGACAACTGTTATAAATTCTGCATTAGCAATCAAAACAAAAGACTATTATGCCGCGCAGTGCTGGCCTCTGGTTGCTACTTGGCTCATATTCCCTGTACAGTAAACAGCCCACAGATGTTTTACATTGATATTAACAACCTTAATTTGTCCTGCGTTGAAAAAGGCCAAGCATAACGCAGGGATTAAGTTCTCAGCCATGTATCACACACAGCACAGACAGCAATCTCATTTAGCTTGAGTGAAGTTTACAGTGAGTGGGTTTTGCATAGGTCATTAGTTGTCTCAAAATACCCCCTTGTCACCATAGCAACTTCAAGTGACTGCTAAATTGCCTTATAAAATTAGATAAATTATTAATGTTGAGAGAGCTTTTTTACTTTAATATGTGTGCTCGGGCTCTGAGCTCCTGCTGTACTGTTTGGAAGGCTGTAATGGAAGAATTCAGCTGTTGTCAGTCATATCTCAGATCATTTGTTTTCATTCTTGAATTGGCCGACTGTCAGTTCCTGGAGCAGTCATTGTAAAATAGCTGCCTGTTCCCACAACATCATGCTCCGGACCCAGATGGTAACATGTACCAGTGAATAATCTGACCGTAAAAGTCTGGTGACATGCGTGCCCATTTCATAGGAATTCAGTGTTTGACAGAAAAAGCACGGTGATGCATTACACAGATGGTTAACGCTGAGGTCACCCTCTTGAGCAATCTCTTCATCAGCGACGGTTTGACCAGTGGGTGTAAGAACTCGACTGATGTTTGAAACATTCAAAGCAAATCTTGAATGCTGACATCGTGTTCTGCATAAATGTATCGCTCGGATGAGAAGGCAACTCTGTGACCTCTTAGCGTCAAAACACTGCACTTCTTTCTCCTTTTTCAGCGTCAG